ACCCTGAGCCCCCTCAGCCCCGGGCCCCGGCGGGAATGTTCAAAAATGAGTACCAGGTAACCCGATCCCCTCTCCGGACCACCGTGTGGCGCTCCTGGGGCGGGGGACCTAGTGAGGTAGGGCCGGCCACCGCATCCCACCGAGGGAAGGAAGAATTAGGCGATTTTGACACACAAAAAAAGAGCAACCAGGGCTCTGGGCAGATAACTTTTTATGTTCTTTCGCTCTCCAGGTCCGTGCCTTGATTCTGATTAAAGTGCAGATTTTGCATCCTACAAGAAAGCCTGGATCAGAATCTCCAGGGCATGGCCTAGAGATTTTGAGCCCCCCACCCCATTTTTTATTAGTACATGTTTGCAGTTCGTGATAAGTCATCGTGGGCAGTTGGTACATGTAAAGAACACATCGCGATTCTTTTTACTTCTCTGCCTCCGTCTCTCAGTCCCTTCTCGTGTACTAAAGCGCCAGCTCCCTGTATTGTACTACCTATCTTGGAATGTTCGCTCTTGATGCGCCCTCCTATCTCAGAAGGAAATGAGAAGTAATCTGCTGGACATACACCAGAAGAATAAGTGAATTCATGAGTGGATTAAACCCCGAATCTAAATAGGGCACTGTGACTATGAGCTGGTTTGTTTGGTTTTTTGGGGGGGAGTTTTCCCCCGAACTGGGGTTCAGTGACTGGCAAAGGCTGGGTTGTATCAGGGTCACTTGGGAGTATTTTAAAACATGTGGAACACCTGATCTTCACCCCTCAGATCTAGTGAGTCAGAACTCTAGACTTGGGGTAGTTAATTTACCTTTTTGACAACTTCCCTCACGCGATTCTCTTGTTGGTGGTCCAAGGATAACACCTGGAGGAACCTGTTTCTGGGTGTTCCTTAGTCACCTGGAGTAGAGCGTCTTCTTTCGTAGCTTTCTTCTTCACCTCCATGGGCATCTACCGTTCTGCTCTTCCTTGGCCCGGCCTCCTGTCCTGCCCTCTTTCCTCACTTCTATTTACAGCCCTGCCCTTAGGAACTTTCTCATTAACCTTAAACCTGTCTTCCCCTGTCTTCACCTCTTTGTTGCTTCTGCTTTTTCACCAAACACTACTGGTCCGTACAGTAGGCGGCAGTTTTCTTTCTTGTATCCCACAGTATTATCATTAAATGGGTTAGGACAAATGTAGAGAATGTGTCACACTACTTGTAGGTGAAGTATCTTGTTAAAAAGCATGTGCCCGCCACAGGAAAACGTAGCAAGGTAAACGAAGTGGGGAGAAAAAGTTTGCTGTTTCACCAAATATAAAAGGTTTTCTCCTTTAAAAAACCAAGCTGTCTCAGATTTAAAATTCATAGTGAAATATGACCTGCTCTTAAAAACGGCAGTAATTCTATCCCATATACAGTTGTGCACATAATACTGCCTAGGGAAGAGGAATTAAGTGTCTTCATAATTATGTGTTAAAACTCAGACGCTGAAATATCTTAGTGTTTAGAAAAAAATAAAAACTGGAAATTCTTTACAAAAATTAACTTTCATTGCTGCTTATAATTCAAGCCACATTTCATCTTTGTCTCACATTCTTAATTTTTGCAATACTTTCTCAGAGATCATCTTATTTAACTCCCCTTTTTATAATTAAAGTATATGAATATCTGGTGATATATTTAGAGATTTTTTTGTATAAGCATGTTCATGTTTTCGAATTTCAATGGAGACTAGTCTGTCTATAGAAATACTTCATTCTTTTTCTTTCACAGATTATTGCTTTTCATATTTATCCAAATTGATTTGTATTAAATAAATAAAAAGATAATACAAAATGCTCAAAATAAGAACCTTCTCGAAATCCCTCCCATCCCTTTTTTTAAACAGTACTAAACTAATTTTCCCCTTTTTTTCAAATAATATTTGATGGCTGTACTAGTTCTCGCTATGTGCTTGATGGTTTATGTTTACTACCCTGTGTAACCCAACAACCCGCTTTACAGCTGCAGAATGAAGATGTTCAGTCCCTCCCAGGCCAATTAGTTAAGTCAATGCTAGAGCCCCAGTGACAATTACCAGAAAGTTTGTAATCTTGAGTAATTATAAGAATGTGTTGGTTTAGTTCAGTAATTGAGTAATTCAGTAATTGAGACCTTTTAGTCCAGGTTCCGTAAAATGTTGTAGAAGCTTGATCTATACATGTGAAGTAAATGAGCCTCACCAGTAATGTTTATATGGCATAATTTATCTAAAGTTTGTCATGCTTTAGAAATAAGTTCCTTAGACCTCTTAATCCAAAGTCATCCAAATGAGAATGTTTCTGGTTTACAAGAAAGCATAGTGTTTCCTCCCAGATCTGCTTAACCCACAGAAGCCTGAAACACTGGGTTTAGACTCTGATGTTTAATCCTTAACACTGTATTTCACGTTAATTTAAATATCTTTTTTTTTTCCTAGGGTGGTGCATTTGTTGAAATCTTTAGTGCTCAAGGAAAAAATCCTGGAGCAAAATGGAAGATCCTTGGCAGTCCATCCTTGATTTGGAAAGTAAGTGTCTGATACAACAGCCACATAAATCCTGAGAGGAGATGTGAGTGAAGATTGTAGAAGAAAGAGCTCAATTAGATTTCGGCTCAGTTTTTCCCATTCGTGTACTTTGAAAGCCTTTTGTGGCACTGTTGCCTGCAGCTCTCCTGAATGCCACTCTTCCACTGTTTAGGACTTGGAAACAGTTCATTCCTTTCTCTGTATTCCAGGCCCTACTCTGTCATTTTGGGTGACTTCAGCAGCAGATCAAAGTCTGTCTAAGCCCCGAGCATCTCATTTCTTGATTTCTTCGTCTTTAATGACCTCTTCCACTTTGCTGCAGCATCCATGCCTGCTGCCCTACCCTAGACCTTATTGCCACAAACCACGAGACATCTGAAATTACTGAGTGAGACACAAAGCTGTCCCTCTCTGACCCCTGTCTTTGATTCTTGAGGCTCAGGTACTCACTCCTACTATGTTTGTTCTTCAGTTTAATTAGTACCCTTTGGCCATTGGCCCTTGTTTAGTTTTATTTATTTTCTCTATCTTCACTTCTTTTTCCTCCAAGCCAGAAACCAAATTCTCATTTCAGTCACATTCTGGTAAAGATGTTGGATGCTTTCACTCTTGTCCTTTCGTCATGCCTGATGAGCCAACCCTTTCTGAATCCTGTCTTTTCTTTGCCTCCACCTGGGATCCTGAGTACTTTTGGAGAAAATAGCTGTAGCCTTTTACATTGGTAATGCTGTACATCCAGCCTGAACAGCCCAGAGAGTTACCCTGTTTCTTCATTATCTTCAGCTTTCCGACTACCTAACTCCTCCCTACTCCCATGCCCCAGCCTACATCTAGGACAAGCCCTCCTCACTCAATGGGAGATCTCACGACTGCTTGAGAAAAAACAGCTGTTAGCTTGCTGCCACCAGGTCAAAACACCTGTATCTTTCCCCATCCCGTCTTTCTTTTGCTCTCTCCTCTTTAACCAAGAATGCTTTTGTAGGGATCCTCTTCCTTGGTTATTTTTAAAGCTGCTATTGAGAGCTTGCAAGCATAGTGTTACACTCTGTGTGTATGCTGTGTGATATTATGTAATGGAAACACTGCTTCCTTGTGAGATAGGTGGCTGTATACCTATAGATAGACCATAAAATTAAGGCACAGGGAGGATAACTCAAAATTACTTAGTCGTTAGTATGAATGAGAGACAGGTGGTACTGCCAGAGTGTATAATACAGATATCAGGAAGGGCTTCCCCAAGGCAATGACATTTGAATTGTGAGAGTTAACTTTTTTTTTTTTTTTTTTGGCAGTACTAGGGATTAAAAAGGGCCCTCACATTGAGGTACCTCTCAAGCCACCCCCCCTTTTTTTTTTACTTTTTCATTTTGAGGTAGAGTTTCACTAAGTTGCTAAATTGCCCAGTCTGACCTCAAACTTGGTGTTCTCCTGCCTCAGCCTCCCAGAGTGCTGAGATTACAGGTGTGTGCCACCATACCCAGCTTGTACGAGTCAACTAGCCGGAGTGGGAGCAGCAGACAGAACATTGTGGGCTAAGGGAAAAGCATATATATAAAGCCCTTCCATCAGGAGTGAGATTGAGATTTTCAAGAAACTGAAAGAAGGCCATTGAGGCTAAGGAGAAGGGAATGAGGGAGGAGACGGGGTTTAAATTTTGGACAGGAACCAGAGTATGCAGTCGTTTATGATCATATTGAAGGTTTTAGTAAGTTAATAAAAAGTTTCAAATATATGCCCAGCTTGTACATAGAATAAAAACTATACCTGGTGTGTTCATTTCAAATACATAGAGATACTCTTATAATGAATATAATAGAAATTTGTTACTTAAGTTTTAGCAGCCATTAATTACAATGCATTTGTTAACATATACAGAAAGCCTGGTATCATTCTGAAGACTGGGAGAATTTGCAAAAATGTGAGAAAGATATCTTTCTACTCAGAGATTGAGAATTTGCCCAAGATAATAACCACTCACATTACCACTTTGATGGAAGTTGGCATCTTGTGTATAACAAGTTTTTCATTTCCAGGTTTTTCTTTTCTGCTTCTCTCACCTTAGCTTTTTCGGTATCCTTTACTGCCACATTTTAATTCATGCTGATTTAGGTAAACGATATACAGAATGTCTTCGTTATTGAAGGTGCAAAATAATTCAGTGATTATTTCTTTGTGAGACATGGTCTGAAATTAAAGAAATTCCATACCAGATATAACAGAGGCGAGCAGTTTCCTCCACATGACAGGGAGCAATGTTCAGACCTGTGCTGTGACTTGGGAATCCCTGAAGTTGGAGAACTTCCTGTCATTTGAAAGAAAGACGTCTTGATCCCGAAGCAGAGTTACCAAGTGGTTCAGTATGACTTTTGTGTCCCAGTTCCCAGCAAGTGTCACGGAAAGGATGCCATCAGGGCCTGGACCTGCCTCTTAAGTCATTTGAATATGGGGCATTTTGCCTCTGAATTTGCAATTTCAGATTTATAGGAGAAGCTAAACAAAATGTACTTCAATTGCTTGTTTTCATTTTGTTCTATAGGAGTTTGATAAAGAAGTTAAAAGTTTTGTGTTTGTTCTGGAAGGCAGCAGCCAAACAAACAAAATTCAACTACCAAAGGAGAATAAGCAAATCCGTAAGTAAAATTTTTAATATTGAAACTTTGATAAACTTATACATTTGTGCCTCATAAACAGGTATACATACTTGTGTGAATTCTCCTGGCATCTGTTGATGTAAAGTGATGTTTGTTTGTTTTTTTAATGTAGAAACTAACCATATGTCAGGCACTATGCTAGGCCTTTAAAAAATATATTCTGCCTTTCTATCTACTAGAAATCTAGAAGTATTTTTAAGATTTAGAAGATTATTTAGTAGTCATTAAGTATGATGATAATAGAATTTATCAAGCACTTAACTCTGACCATTAACTTTCTAAGCCTTTTATATGTATTAGCTCTTCTAATCTTCAGAAGAGCACTTCCACTTATGAACAAACTGAGATTGGTTCCTTATTAAGAAATCAGGTAGGCTGGGCACAGTGTACTACACCTGTAAACCCAGCACTCTATAGTCTGTGGCAGGAGGTTGCAAGTTCAAACCCAGCCTGGACAACTTAGGAGACTCTGTCTCAAAACAACAACAGCAGCAGCAACAACAAAGGGCTGAGGATTTAGATCAATGCAAAGACCCCGAGTTGATAACTACACATATGATTGTGTGACTTAACAAAAAGCTCAAAGAGTTGAGTACAGGTCTCACTTTAGAAATTGGCATTAGCATTTTAAAGCAGAAGAAATCTGAAAGTTCACCTAAATTTGTGGTCAGAGGCCCAGTGTTGGCAGAGATGGAGTTAAAATTCAAGGTTTTGCCCCCAGATTAGGCTTTGAATAAAGCGAGGTTGATTTAAGAAATACAGTTTATTAGAATGATTAAACATAGTTTCCATGAGCTGTGTCCTCTTTTAAATATAGAGTTCAGGTGATTTAGCAAATATAAGTAGATAGTTCTTTTTTGCATTTATCATTTACTTACTTAGTCCTCTGATGAGAAGACAACAATGTTAACAACATTCATTGAATACCTGTTGTGCGCCAGACACTGTGAAAGGACTTGCTGTTGGTACCTAGTTTCCTTATTTAAATTCAGCTTTCTAAATGTACATAGACTCTGTGCTTTATGCACTACTTTTAGTGGCTACATGTGTTTTAGATTTCTAACCCTGTAAACTGAGTTGTAGAAGTTATAGAGAGAAGATGATTTCCTTTAAAGTGGTATGCCTGGTTTTTTTTGTTTTGTTTTGTTTTTTAAAGTTTTGAGAGGACCAAATCCAGGTCCTTTGCACTAAGCTACATCCCCAGCCCAGACTTTTAATTTCTTTTTATTTCTTATTTTGAGACAAACTTTTACTAAGTTTGTTAGTTTCCAGGGCTTGATTCCAACTTGCAGTCGTCCTACCTTGGCCTCCAGAGTGCTAGGATTACAGCCATGTGCCACCATGCCCAGCTGCCAGGGTTTCTTTCTAAATTAACATAAGAAGAAAGCTAGAAGACATTCCTTATAGTTGGTGTGTGTGTTTGTGTTTGTGTTTTTCATAGCAAGATTTTTTTTCATTTCCACATGAATTTATACTTATAAATGAAGTAAACTAAGAAATTAAGCTAGAGGGAAACGTCTGAAACTGTACTTCATTGTTGCAAGAAACACAGCCCATCCATTTCAGGATGTTGACTCGGTGAGACAGGTAACCACTTTACATCAGTGTTAGTTCTTTTGTTTCTTATTGTTGTACTTATAAAGCCTACCTGTACTTCCTTTTAATGTCCCCAACATCTGTGCACATAATCATGTCATTGATAAATTCATTCACTTCTCATTTGTCTCTGAGAAACATTTCTCTTCTGCCAAAGGCTAAGCGGTTATGTACAAACTCCCCTTTCCTGCACTTACCTGTCTTTTTCCCCACAGAAACCAATTTAATATATTATAATTACCTTTTTAAATGGAAATATGGTGGTTTTTAATTGCAAGAAGCAGAAGAATCTTTTAATGTATTTCTTGTACTCTGCCCTGTAATTAAACATTAATCTTGCTTTTCTGTACCACAAACCACACTGTTACGAATGAAACAGTTTATGTTCTTTACCCTATGCTAGTATCTTCAAGATTAATTATTTGGAATTTTTGATAACAGAAATGTATAGCTATTTTTTACTTGTATTAAAATGAAGTCCCTTGTGAGGTTGGTATAGTTAAGTTTAAATGTCATATTTTCAAATACCATTTCTAAATGAAGTTAATTTACCATTATGTATTCCTGTTTTAGGAGTAAGTATACATTTTACTTATCTAAGCTTGGCATTTGATACTTCATGTTGATTCTGACTATATTGAGTACTTAGGAAGAAAGTTTAATAATGAAATTATGGATGTTTAAATGTTCATAAGCAATATTTCTGAATTATACTTGAGGATTTCTAAATACATCAAAGCTTTTTTGTTCACTCAGCATCCATCAGATAAGAGAATGTGACATGATTATTGGATTGTGCACATTTCTGGGGCGTCATCTTCTGCCTCCAATTTAGTGTCTGATGCACAGCTGATGTTCAATAAGTTAAATTTGCCACGTAAAACACTGTGACAATTTGGGTTATAATCTGTTGTTGTCACCATCTGGCCTTCAAGAAACTTGAGTGAGTCATTCATTGGGTATGTGCTGTAGCCTGGGCTGTGCTATAGATTTGCCCGTATGAGAAGCAGCTCTGTCATACATGAGCATCTGTCATCTGGAAAGTCTTCAGGACTTTCTGCTTTTTCTGCCCGGGCATCTGAATCAAATGGTGTCTCAGGCCATCAGCATCTCTGAAGCCTCATGCTGATCCAAGTTTGAGCTGCTGTAGGGGTGAGGTCACTTTTAGGTGGTTCCCTGCGTTCTCCTCATACCCCCACTTTGATATTCTTTTTAAAGTCATGACTTCCTCTGTTTAAAATCCTTCAGAGCTCTGATCTCTTCATTCTGCTGACCGTGCTTTTGTCAAAGTCATGAGTAAGTGCTCTATTCCTGAATCCAGTGGCGAGTTCTCAGCTCTCATCTTCATGTATCAGCAGCATTTGAGGCAGCTGGCACCTCCTTGATGTACTCTTCCAGGATGGCCACCTTCCTATTTCTTCCTACTTCACAGGTCTTTCTTGGTCTCCTTTGTGGTTCTTCCTCTTGTCTCTAGCCCAACCTCACGTTGTTACAATGCCCCTGGACTCAGTCTTTGACCTGCTATTTATCTACATTTACTCCCTTGGTTATTGGCTTTGGGCTCATTGGTTTGAACGTCACCATTATCTTACTGCAGTTTATATTCCCAGCTGAAACTTCTAAACTCCAGACTTGTACTTCAACCGCTTATGCAATGTTTCTCCATGGACAGCTTACATGCAGTGTATCCAGAGCCTAATTCCTGGTCTTTATTCCTAGAAATGTCTCCTCTTCCTGTAGCCTGCCTCGTTTCACTTGTTAGCTGCTTGTCTTTTCAATTGCTCTTACTCAGAAGTCTCAATTAAATCATTTTCTACTTTTCTTTATTTTCATTCACTCCATGAAGATCTTGTTGGCCTATTTTTATTTTTATTTTTTGGTACTTGGGATCAAACTCAGGTCCTTTTGCTTGTGAGGCACCACTGGACTGAATCCCTGGCCCAACACTATTTTTAAAGAAGACTGAGAGTTGGACCACTTCTTGCCACCTGCAGTGCTATTCCATGGTCCGAGCACCTTTGTTATGCTTGCACTTGTCCTCCATTTGTGTCCCTGTTTGTGACTCGGTCTCCCTATTGTCTGCTCTTCAATTAGCATCTAAGGTTATATGTCACAACTGTTAAGTAGCATTTAAATCACATTACTGCGCTGCTGAAAATGACCCATCTCTCGGAGTGAAAACCAAGTATCCACAGGGCAGCTACGTACCTGGTATGCTCTGAGCTGTTTGGTCCTACCTCCTCTTACTCCTTCCCTGTACAGGATCTGCTGTTATGAGCCATGGCCTGGTGCCATCCAGCCAGAGCAGCACTTTTTTTTTTCTCATTGAGTTTATTGGTACATTTTATGTATACATTACAGTTACATTCATTATTGGGATCTTGCACCTTTACATGACAGGTCTTGGTTCTCATTTTATCCCCTTGTCCCTGCCCTCCCTTCACCCCCTCTTTTCCTCTCCATGTACAAACACTTTATTTCCATTTTTTCACTTTCTCATATTTTTTTCTTTTCCCTTATTACCTTTCCCCTACCCTTCCCACTTTCCCTACACCTTTAGCCCTTTTCTTCCTGTTTCACATTGTCAATTATATCATTAGGATCTTACGTACTATTATAATTTATTCACACCAAAGAAACTATTCAGTATTTGCACATGTGTGACTTATTTATTTCACTTAGGAGTATATCCTCAATATGTATTCATTTTCCTATGAATGAATCTAATTTCTCATTCTTTATGGCTGAGTAGTATTCCATTTTATAGAAAAACCACATCTTCTTTATCCAGTCTTCAACTGATGGACATAGGAAAAGACTTTATGAACAAATCCTCAGTAGCACAGGAACTAGCAGAAAGAATCAACAACTGGAATCTCATCTTATTAAAAAGCTTCTGCACTGCAAAAGAAACCATCAACGGAACTAAGAGACAACCTACAATGTGGGAAAAAAATTTTACCAGCTGCTCCTCAGACAAAGGACTCTTATCTAGAATATATAAAGAACTCAAAACAATCAGCTCCCCCCAAAGTATAAAGACCCGATTCAAAACTGGGCATCTGAAATGAACAGACATTTCTCAAACAAAGAAGTAAAAGCAGTAAGTAAATATATGAAAAAATGTTCCACATCACTGGTCATTCGAGAGATGCAGATGAAAACAATGCTGAGATTCCACCTCACCCCACAAAGAATGGCTGCTATCAAGCAATCACACAATAACACATGTTGATGGGGTTGTGGGGAGAAAGGAACCCTCTCCATTGTTGGTGGGAGTGCAGACTGGTGCAACCACTATGGAAACCAATATGGAGATACCTCAAAGAGCTGCAACTAGAGGTTCCATTTGACCCAGAGTAGCACTTTCTTTCCCCAGCAGGCTTCACGGCTTACTCCCCTCTGCCTTCTCCAAGCATTCAGTAGGATGCCACCTTCTTGGTGAGGCCCACCTGACGCACACACACTAAAGTTACAGCCCATGCTTCTTTTCCTTTCTCTGCTGCTGATCCCTTCTACCCTGCGCCACCTCCAGCACCCTCTCCTGAAATCACCAGTTAACGCACTGTGCCATTGTTAAGGTCGTGTATTGTTTTCTTACCATCACCAAAGCAAGCACTACTGCCAGAGACAGTTCAGTCCGTTTTTGTGCATAGAACAGTGCCTCCGTCATAGTAGATGTTCAAGGAGATCTTCATTGAGCAGTGACTGAAGGGCTCCCTGTTGATTTTAGGGTGACCATACCTTCCACAGGACCCTCAAAGCCCCACTTGCTTCTCTTCTGACTTACCTCCTCCTGCTCTTCCTCTTCTGTCCTACCAGCTCGTTAGCCCCTGTAAATTCATTCTCCCTACTTCCTCTTTTCCATCACAGAGTGGGGCATTCCCTCTGTCTTCGGTACTTGTTCCTCCTACTCCTAAACCCAATGCCTATCTTATTCTACCGGGCTGAATTCCAATTTTTTTAAAGAAAACTTTTACTCATCATCCTCCTCTCCTGAGGACTCAGCCTTATGTGCTTTTATAACCTTGACCTTCTGATTCATGAGTCCAGAATATAAGGACAGAATTTATTTACTGAAAAATTTACTGCAAAAACTTCAACAGCTGGGCGTGGTGGCACACGCCTGTAATCCCAGCATTCGGGAGGCTGAGGCAGGAGTATCGCTGTGAGTTCAAGACCAGCCTGGGCTACATTGTGAGTTCCAGGTCAGTCTCAACTACATAGTGAGACCCTGTCTCAAAAAACAACAACAACAACAACAACAAAAAAAAAAACTTCAACAGTGGCTCTCATACATAGTAGGTGTTCAGTAAATCTTTGCTGAATGATAGGGCTGATTTAATTCGTACCAGTGACTCTGTGAGGTGTGAATCGAAATTGTAGGCTGGATTTTTTAGATGAAAGTCAGAGGCCCTAGACAGGTTTGCTCATTTGACCACAGAATGCAGACTAGCCGGCGGTTACAGATGGAGTTGACTGGTGGTGACTCTGTGTTGTGGGGTGGGGGGGCACACTTCGTTGTGCTCTCTGTGCCAGAGCCGGGGTAGGAGTCACGGGATGAATTCACTTGTGATTTTTTGGGGGCATTTGTGGAGAACGGCTGTCCAGTGCGCTCGCCCCTGCTGTCTGCACAATGCAACCCTTGTAGCACGTGCTCAGGTGTCCATTCTTTCGTTTGCCTTAATGAAAGCAGGGCTTAAAACTCAGGTGGTATTTTACTAGATGACTATATTTTAAAATATTCCGAAGGACTAAGAACAAAACCCCTTAAAATAGTTTGTCTAAAGCAAACAACAGATTATAAAACTACCAAAACCTGCATGTTTTAGGAAAAAGAAAACATTTTTACATATTTCATACACTTGATGAACCTTTTTTGATTAGCAGAAGTTCCACACTTGGCATTACTTAAAGAGAGTGATTTGAAATATAATGTAGACTGAAGAGCCAGTTTAAATTTAGTGAGCTACTGGAGAAACTATTTCTGTGGAGCTCATTTAGCACTGCTGCCTCTCAGGTCTGTCAGATGTTACTGAAGTACTTTTTCTTTATCGTAGCATCACAATGTCATATCATTGTACTTCTTTTAATCTCAGGAGCAAAACCTTTTGGAACCTAGGGCTTCTGTATGTGAGAAAGCCGAATACAAAGCTCTCTTTTTTTGAGGGGAGGAATCTTTCATTTCTAAAAACGCTCATACAAAAATGCCCTGTATTGTAGCTCTTGGCATTTGAAGGGAACGTTACTGATTCAGTGAGATTGGTAGCATAAATTAGGCACCTCTTTTAAAGATGGATTTCATTTATCCTGGTAATCTCACAGCTGTCTTTCCAGGAAAACACTGCAGGACCAGTCAGTACAAGGGGCAAGAGAGATTTATTGGCCATGGCTGATTTAAATTGGCCTCGTTTTGGTGTCTCACTTGCTTCTGTAGATCAGAACTCTTCTTGCTTCACTGGCTGTCCCCATAAATATCACAAAATCAGATTTCTAGGGAATTTTCTAGGCCCGGAGCCTGTTATATCCATATTTATATTACATTCCCTGCTTTACTGTTGGCTCTGTGGATCAGTTTATAAGCTGAGTACTTTTACATAAAAGTTAATCCCTGGATGTTTGATTAAAATATTATTATTGTATCTGATCAATAAGTCTATTATTTAGAAACTAAGTTTGAAATAAAACACAGGGGCTCTTTAGGTTGTTCAGGAATTTTGCCAAACTGTTTGCTGTAGGAAGTATAAACCAGGTCTTTATATACACTGCCAAATGTACTGTTACTTTAAAATACTTAAAATTGTTAAGTAGACTTAAAGTTAGAACAGATAGAAAATGGCATCTTTTTAGACCAGTTGCTTTCCTTGACCTCTTTTATCCACCTGTTGGCCTGTACTCTTGGCTTAAATAGAAGTTCACAGACAGAATGAAGATGTCTGCATTTATTGAGCATCAAAATAAAAAGTTCCTAATTGCATATTTTAGAAGATGTGATGCTAAACATCTGTTGAGAGTATCATAATTGAGAGAACAAAGGTTCATAAACCTAAGAGACAAGGCATTAAGTGAATGGATCTGGGTAGCTAATATAAAATCAATTTTTTAAAACCAATTGTAGATTTCAGCTATCAGTAGTACCGTAGGAGCTGGGCATGGTGGTGCACACCTGTAATCCCAGCACTCTGGGAGGCTGAGGCAGGAGGATCACAAGTCAGCTCCCAGCCTGAGCAATTTAGCAAGACAATAACAACTTTTTCTCTCAAAACAAAAAGTTAAAAAAGGTCTATGATACAGCTCAGTGTGAAAGCCCTGGGTTCAATTCCCAGTACCATTAAAAAAAATAGGGATTAGTTTTTCTCCAAATATTTTTTTTTTATAAATGACAGTGATAATAGGGAATAAAACCCGTCAGTTCTTTCTTGGCTTGAAAATATATTAAATGAACAGAGGTATTATAAGTGGAAATACATTCTTCCATCTCAGTGTGGACACATTTAAAACCGTATGAAACACACAATGGCTTATCAAATCTTCAGTTGTCATTGTCATATTTAGAATTATTTTCTTGATCTACTGTTTTTTATTAAGTTGTTAAGTACAGTTAAAACTGTCAGTGAATACAAATAATTGCCACCTGCTTTTACGGCCACCATGACGGGAATCTGCAGTTCAATGTTATGTCTCTGCTGAGTGCGGGTTCTGTGTACACTCTCTTGCAGCCTAATAAAAATAGTAAATGAAAAGTTATTATTTTTTAACTTTTATAAAAATTTCACCGAGGCCACAGATGGCACTTTAGAAGGCAACATTTCTCGTGAGGGTCCAACTTGATTTTCATCCATATTTTTCATTTTCATAATGAGGTTACAATTCATATAGTGATATTGCAGGTCTGTCCATTTCTGGGAGCTTCTGCTTGCTGATGTGCAATTGTTTGTTATGTGCACATACAAGTAGTTTGAGCGTCTGAAATGTGCTTTTCCCTCTCGTTCTAGTTGGGCTGATCCAGAGGTTTCTTGTGCTTCAGATTTACGTACCCTTGGGACAGGACTTCTCCACTGAATTGCTGTAAGATATACGTGACTTCTCTTATGTTTTATGTTTGTGAGACATTTGATCCATTGAAGCAGTGCTACTGGGCATTAATTGTCAGTGGCAGCTTTTGTGTTGAACAGTAGTGACTGATCAAGTCAATGTGAAGCAATTAAACTAATTTAATTGTACGCTTTAGATATCACTATACTCTTAACATTTCTCTAGGGAAGGAAAGTACATTTCGTCCACTTAAGGAGAGGTCAGAGGAGTTTTATTTTGACAATAACTGGCCCATAACTTGGAGAAGTACAGAGTCCAAAAGTTTTAAGATTTGGGTTCAAATGAAGGGTGATGTTATATTTTGTACTGTTTGTGTTCAACGATGGTTGGCTTAAAACTGATTGAAATACCAATTGCCATAGTTTAGATATGCAGTATTCGTCCTGCCTGTGTATGTGTAGTCATCATGACCTGTGTTTGTTTTAATTGGCCTTATTAGATTGTTTAGCAAAAATGAAAAGACACATTTTTACTCCGTTTAGCTTCTGTATGAGATAATACTATGAATGAATATAGTATGTGATTTGTAGATTCACATAGATTTTAACTGAAAATTGTCTAAGATTTCATCAGTGAATATGTACACTTTAACCTATTGCATTTAAATTATGGTGCTTCTGATTTTTTGTATTTAGTAGTAATTCAAGGTTGTGCTTATGATTTTTATTTTCCATGTTAGAATAAATAACTTATCAATGAAGATAATTTTATACTAGTTTTCCTGGTGCCAACTAAAAGAGACAAAAGAGCATAATTAAATGAGACTATCATAAATTTGATAATCATTTAGGATATTAATGATTTATTGGTATGCTGCTGAAGTATGAATTTTTAGTTAATAAGATGTAGTCTTGTTTTCTTGGATGATAAAGAATAGATGGAAAATTTTATACCTTTGTTCACCTTTAAACTTCTTTAAGCTTCTAAGATCTTCTTTTATCATCTGCCATGGTCACTAAGATTCTTTAAAATAGTTCTTGGAGTAAGAAGAACAAAGCATTATCTGATGCTCTTGTGTAGCACTTTCTGATTCTGCAGAAAACGCATTTTTCAAGACTCCAAAGACATTCTAAAGGTACAGAGAGTACCACATAAAGCTTTATTTTCAGTGCAGGGAAAAGTGGTTTCTGAAATGGAAGAAGGCAAATTATGTAGTAAGCTTTTAAAGCTCCTCACATAGAAATCTAGTTTAGCTCCTTTTATTCTCCAGACCTCTCTCCCACCCGCACTTTGAGCTTCTGCAGAAGCAGTAATGGAGATCTGGTAGTTGGCCTCTGGATCAAAGCCATGCAGGATATTTGGGGAACCTCACAACAGGATCTCGCACCAGGGAGACTTCTCTTTCGATGCAAAATGAAGTTTTATTTGTGCCCCCAGACACTTGAGCTGATCACCCAAGCCCAGGCAATATACAATTTTAAGTAATAGCAGTTAAAGCTTTAATTATTGAGAAGTTATCAAGTGTCTTAGTTTCATTGAGTGCTAGCGGGAAAGCAGCTGATAGCTAAGTAAGCCTGACTATCTCTGCTTTACCGTATTAGTAGTACTCTTGGCCTGTTTAAGGATGGAAAACTATCTTGAAAGGTGTTAGCATTAACAATTAGATTTTGAATTCAGTTCACTATAATTGATTCCCATGTTCTCATATCCACATGGGCAAACATTTATTTTCCAAATGGTTTTAATTTTATAGTTTTAGCAAAAGAAGTATCTTAATGACAAACGTTGAAATCATTAAATAACATGGAGAAGACTCTCTGTTGTGACCTTATGAGTTTCTCAGTTTATAAAATATATATACATATATAATGTATATATATAGACTCTGAATTTGTTGCTAACAGGTAATTAAAATGTATTGCTGTTTTAGGAAGTAATGACAGTGACCATGTTTTCACCAGAAGGGAAGTAGAATAATAATAATGAATGTAGATTCTCTTTCCAACCATAGCTTTTTTTTTTTCCCCTGAAATGAAAGGACTTTTGTTCAGCACCCTTAGTGTTTTACTGTGTTTCTAGCAGCATAGCCTTAGGCTATTTTAAATAATACATTTCTCTAACAAGCTTGGAAAGTCACACAGTAGAAAGATAGCTGGCTTCTAAAATTTTCCATTGTCGAAATGGGAGAGGCATTTTGTTTCACAAAGGTACCTTTTATACATCAAGAACTTTTCATAAGTGGAGTTTTGCCAGCTGGTTTATGAATTTAGTAATTGTATCCCCAGCATCTTCCTGTCTCCCATGCCACTGGATGATTATACTGCTCAGGGAGAGGTGATCCATGTGGGTTAATGATTGCCTTAGAACCAGTAGCAGCACTGCTTGAGGAATCATTCATTCAGTGAACAAATTACTGAAATCCTGTTATTTAATCTGTACAAATCTCCCTGCCCTCACTGCTACCATCTTAGTCCCAAACCACCATCACAGTTTCCATGATAGACTGTTCCAGCCTTCCATTGGACTCCCCAGCTTTTTCTTTTTCCAGTGTCGACACCACAGCCTGAGTGATCTTTCTAAAAAGCAGCTGGAATACTCACTTAATTGATGATAAACCCACAAATCCTTATTACTCCTGTGTGCTCTGCGCTCTCATCTCTCCCTGCTCTTCTCCTACCACTCTTCTCTGAGCTCATGCTTCGTCTGGCCATGTAGCTTTTTCCCTTCCTCACATGCAGGGTAAGGTCCCTTCTTAGAGTCCAGGGCGCAAGTGGTTTGTCTCCATCCATTTGCCTAGCTAACTCCTACTCTGCAGGGTCTCTTCTGTCAAAAGGCCCTTTTTTTAAACCCTTCTCTCCTTCCTCTAGCTAAGTGATGTTCATCTCTTACATCCTTCCTAGCACCCTGTTCCTTTCCTTCGTTAAAGCTCTATAAGTTGATTTATGTATTTATTGATTATGTGTCTTTTCCGGTAGACCAAGAGTTCCATGACTCAGCACGGTACTCCAGTGTCTTAACGCATGCTTGCCATATAACAGCCTCTGAAATATGGCTGGGTGAGCAGTGGGTGGACTAACAAATGGCAGGATCTAGCCTTGTCATCATATAGTTTATTTTGAGGATGAAAGACCAATTTACACTTAGATAAATGTTATAATGACTAAGAGTGACATTTGTGGAGACCGTGTGAAGTATAAGGTACAAAAAAGAGGGGATGGATCTGCAGTCAAATTCTGCTTTGCTTTTGTGGGGCTTTGAGTAGATTATCTAACTTACCTCACCAGTAGGAGGACAGTAATAACATCTCACAGGTGTGTCATAGCACTAAATGAGGAAATTAACATGTAGTAATAATAACTTAACATTTACAATATAGCTAAGCATTAGATTATCCTAAACACTTCTATTTTAGCTCAATCCGTAGAATATGGATCACCTGGCACTCATAATCATTACTTGTTTTTTATTGCAAAGGGAGCTGAAGTCCAGAAAGGTTAAGGACTTTGCCAGAGTTTACAAACTCTAAGAGCACTAGCTCTTAGAGTTAAGATTGAAATGTGTAGTCTGCGCTTGGAACCTGTGCTCTGTATCACCGTGCTGTGCTGGCTAATTTTTTTTTTTTTTTTTTTTTTTTTTTTTTTTTTTGCCTGTACAGACAGATACTTGTAGTAAATATATCGTAACTATTTCATTTGAATTTAGTACAAGATGGAAGTCCTAAGCCTTCTCTATCTTCTTTAGTGCTTTCTTACAATGCAGTTTTATTACTAGAGTTCCAGGAAGAAGAGTGTTTCACGCCAAGGTGTTTTTTTGCCTTATTCTTTTGAGAGAGAAATGCCTGAGCATTATAAAATAATTAAGCTTATTTTAGTATACTTTGGATCTTAAATGTGATGGTATCCATATTCGACTTTTTAAATGAAAACTAAGAAACAACTTCACCTCTTTATTGATTCTTTACTTTGGTCTATGTGTAGGCCTCTTTTTCTGTAACATCTAAAAATGATATTATTCAAAATGGTGCTCCTCTGAGCGGTGAGATGGCTTCAGAACTGCACAAGCTGACCAGCAGTTTTCCAGATGTGTTACATGTTGCACACAAAGCCAGCAGTGTTTCCTGTACTGACACATGAAGAAGTAAAGAATCTTTTTTTTTTTTTTGGTACCAGGGATTGAACTCGGGTCCTTGCACTTGCAAACCACTGAGCTAAATCCCCGGCCCTGAAATAACAGAATCTTATGTATTTCATTGTTAAGCTGTCAACCCACAAGACTCCCTCACTTTTTATAGAAATCATTTTAAATTGCTTATTTTGTTGTATTAGTTGCAGTTTCCTTTTCCAAAGTGTTTTAGTTTAGCTGTGTCGGTTTGACTTGAGTGTAAATAATTGAATAAACAACTGTTTTTTCAAAATTCTTACATTTTTCGATACTTCCAACTTGCATCATCAAGTCATTGGGAAGTCAGTAGGCCCCCTGTGTGGGTTTGGTGGGTGTTTCAGAGCCCGGGACAGATATCTGGTGCGCAGGAGGAGTACCCGGTCCTGTCCTCTTGGAAAACCCACTGTGTCTTGAAGTAGAAATCCATTTTGCTATATTTGATGCTGCCAATCACACTAAATGATTTTGGAGTATTACATTTGAGGGGATAGGACTTGCATTCATTTTACCAACTACTGTTGAGGTGCATTAGTTCCTTTCTCTATCCCGAATTGGTCATTATCTTGATGAATTCTGGAAGGCATTTTGTACTGTTACGCCTCCAGTGAACTGACATTATTTTTCCCATTTTCACTCAGCCCAGCCACTGCTTTTTCGATATATGGGTCGCAAACACTATGAAAGCCTGAGTGGCAGATATGATGTGCTGTTTGGCGAAGCTGGGATTCGTAGCCTGTGGCTCCTAGAGAATATTACTGCTAGAAGGCTCAGGTGTGAGCCTTACCTGTTTGTAGTACTGCTGGTGTGTGGAATCTGATGAAAGGTATGGGGCAAGCATTAAATCCCTTTAAAAAGAGAGACATTCCTAAAAG